ACACATACATACATACATACATACATACATACATACATACATACATACATACATACATACATACATACATACTTACATACATACATACATACATACATACATACATACATACATACATACATACATACATACATACATACATACATACATACATACATACATACATACATACATACATACATACATACATACATACATACATACATACATACATACATACATACATACATACATACATACATACATACATACATACATTTAAATATACATACATTCAAGAAATGTCATTACTCTATCGATTTACCAACATTTTAGGCATATGGTGAACTTGACAAAGTACGTGAAGAGCTGGAACGATCGCAAGCTACTCTTGGAAAGTCACAGCTTACGCAAGAAAAGATTCAAAATGCACTTGACAAAGCGCAAAATGAAGTCGATCACTTGCAAGAGAAGCTCGATAAGAGTATTGCAGAAGTCAGAAGGGTATTTAACTTCAATGTTCTGGGTGTTTTTCACTTTTAATTCTAACGATTTAATTATGTTTTAGCTCCAACTAGAAAAAGAGAAAATTAACTATGAGTTCGAAAACATACAATCACAGCTTGACAAGCAACTTGGACAGTCGTCCAGAGTTCAGAAGGAGAGAGAAGCCGTTCAGATGGACTTGGAGCGATATCGAGATAAAGCGGACAAGCTTCAAGCATCCATAGGACGTCTACAAAAGGAACGAGACGTACTCTCTGATGAACTAGAGAAGATCAAAGAGAAAGCAGAATCTTCACAAAGCTCCGCACTCAAATATCAACGAGAACGGGATGCCATCCAGACAGAGCTGGAGGTTGTTAAAGAGCGCTGGGAGAAGGCGCATCAAGTTCATCAGAAACTTCAAATGGAACGAGACGACGCAGTCACAGAAATCGATATCTTGAAAGAGAAACTCGACAAAGCTCTACATGCTAGCCAGAAACTCATTGAGGAGAAAGACAATTCCAACAAAGAATTTGAAAAGATGTTGGAGAAATATGATCGATCGCAAAACGAAATCTATAGACTGCAATCACGTTGCGATACCGCCGAAGCTGACCGTAATCGCCTCGAGGTCGAAGCAGAACGATCTGCTTTGGCTGCTGCAAAGGCAAAAGAGGACCTCAGGAAACTTCAAGAAGAAACCACTCGGCTACAAGAAGCGTGTGATCGTGCCGCAATGCAGCTGGGCCGCTCTAAAGAGCTGGAAGATAAAGCGAAGGAAGATGTTGATCTCATTCGTGAACGACTTGATAAGACCCATGCTGATCTTAGGCGAGCACAGGCCGAAAAAGAAAATCTTCAAGCTGAAATTGAACGACTCTCCTATGAACTGGATCGAGCTCATAATAGTTACACCAAGCAAACTGCATCTCTCGATGCAGCTCAAGAGGAAGCAGCACGGTATAGTCTAGAGATTGAAAAAATGAGAGAACGGTATGAAAAGACAGCCGCTGAAATGCGACGCTTACAGGAGAATGAATCATTTAGTAGAGAATCGCGACGTATGAAGGAAGAAAACGATCGTCTTCGTGAGAAATATGATAAGACAATGATGGAACTAGAGAACTACAGAAGTAAATCCCAATATGAAGAAGAATCGCTAGAAAAGTACAAACAGAAGTTCGAGTCACGTGAAAACGAATTTCAGACCATGGAGCTTAAACTCCATGAAACTTCTTTACAATTGGAACTGGCTCGCCAAGAAGTTCAGAAACTTATCTCCAATCAAGATAAACAACGTACAGACGCTGAACGAGCCCATATCGAGTACGAGAAAATCCGCGACAAACACGAGAAGCTCATCAAAGAAATGGAGCGATTACGCCAAAACCCCGGATCCACCGTCAGTCCTGGTACGCTTGCTGCTGCTTCAGTTGGTATGGGTGATAAGAATGAAATTGAAAGGCTGCGTGATCGATTGGATAAGGTTCTACAAAGTCGAGACTCAACCGAAATGGAAGCCGGACGTCTGGCAAAGGAACTTGAGAAAGCACAATTACATTTGGCTAAACAACAAGAAGCATACGAAGCTACTAGAATTGAGTTTGAACGTATGTCTGCCGAACTCACGCGTGTTCTAGAGAGATTGGAAAAATCGGAAGCCGAAAAAGAAACGCTTCGACAATCTACCAAGATTTACGAAAAACATCACCAGCAGCATGCAAGTAACCATATCGATCATAACGTAATGAAAATGGAGGCTGACAATAAGCAACTAATGGCTGAGCGAGATCAACTTGTAATGCAACTTGAAAAGAGCCAAGACATGTTGATGAGCTTCCAGCAAGAACTAAATGCTGCCGAACTAGAACTGCAAAGACAGTGTGAAGAAAATAGGCGATTAAAAAATTCACCCCAAGGTCATGTTCAAGCGCAACCTAATCAACAAGAAATTCAAAACTATAAGAAAGAGATTGCCCGGCTAAAGCAAATGCTTCAAGAAACGGGAGCCAGAGGTGACAGTGAGCTTGAACAATGGCGGAAGGTCGTTGAGCAAGAAAAGAATCGTGCTGATCAAGCGGAAAAGGCAGCTATCGAACTTCAGAAGAGGATGCAGGTATGTCGAACGCTTTCTGCTTGCTACTATTATTTATTAATATACTTATAACTACCGGTATTTCAGGTTATGGAACAGCAATTGAAACAACAACTATTGCAAATGACTAATATGCAGAAGCAAATGACTCAGCAGCAGCAACAGCAACAGCAGCCGGCTCAGCCACAGCAACCGCAAATTAATCCGAAAGAAATGGAAAAGATTCAGGAGGACCTAAAGACAGCTGTCACTCAACGTGATCAGTTCCAAAATCAACTGGAACTTTTGGTTCAGGAACTCGAGAAGAGTCAGGTATGGTATAACCACAGTCAACATTTATATATAGACCATTAATTCGATGATACGATTTCTCCAACAGATGGAGGCTCAGGAAGCCGCAAAGAAAGCACAACAGCAAAAGCAGCAGCTTCAACAGATGCAACAACAGATACAGCAGCTGCAACAACAGTTACAGCAAGCCACACAAACAGCAACTCAAAAAGCAGCCCAGAGTGCTAGCATCTCGGAACAAGACCGAAAACAGCTCGAAGCACAAATGAAACAAATCGAAGATGCTACCCGATTATTGGAAAGCGAACGCAAGACATTCGAAGACCAGCGCAAGGTTATCGAAAACAAGCGAAAAGAACTGGAAGAAAAAGAAAAGAACCTGGTGGAATTCGACAAGCAATTGAAGAAGCGAAAAGAACAAATGGACCAATTAGAAAAGTCCCTACAGAAGGTAAGTTGGATCATTTACATAAAAAACCTACTACTAGTTCACCACCAGTACCAACGAATATTGACTAATTTAATGCCAAAGCGTCTATGGGGTTGGGATCAGTTTTTTAATCAAAATTTTAAAGCGGCGCCGATGGTGTAATGGTAAGCGTAATTACGTGATTAGATGAACGCGTCATTGGGACGGTACCAATGGATATTTTGGTCGCTATTGAAAATTTAGTCGATTGTTGAATTTATGTATCGGCCCATTCGGGGCATTTAGACCAACATTACATCCATCACCCCTATTTAACAGATTTTTTGCAAAGCAAGTGACCCAGGACACAATAGTCGATTATTTTCATATTTTAAGTCTACATTATTTTTATTTTTTATGATTTAAGGTCTGCTAAGAAAAGTTAAGCTTAAGTTGCAAAAACAAAAAGTTTTTCGCAGTAGATTAGATCGAATTTAATTTGGCTACTTTGGTCACGAGACTCCAATATTGGATAGTGCAGCTTGATTTAATATTTTTTAGTGCTTTTAATAAAAAAACTTCTGGAAATGTATTTTGCGATCGCATAAATAGAATAAAAATTTTTGCTGGCAAAATTAATTCCAATATTAAATTTTTAAATTTTCAAGATTCAAAGGCTTGAACTTAAGGCAGTTCTGCGTCAATGGCAGTTACAGAAATACTCAATGCATCGGACAAAAAACCCAAGAAACTGCATTTTAAAATAATTATAATTTTAAATAAAACAAAAGAGAATAATCTTGGCAATGGTAGATTTAGAATGATCTTAGAATTGGAATTTTTATAGAATCTGCACCTTGAGAATTGAAAAACAATTTGAGTGATGATTCCAATAGATTACGAAGAAAAATCAATTCACGGGAATTTTGTTTATTTATTTATTGGTCGTCAATCAGTGTAGACCGTTTTACAATTGTTGTCTTAAGTGCTATTTTTAAAATTTTGTCTTTGTTAATATTTTTTATAATATGTCTTAAGAACAAGTTAAAACATTACTTCTAGTTGACGTTATGAGACGAATTAAAATATTGCTTTAATTTGGTTTTTGTCATTGTAAAGTCAATGTTATCGCAGTGCTTATTATATGTATCCATCATTTGGTTCAAGGGTCCAAATTTGGCATAATTCGTACGATGACGATTTGTAGCAAATATATTTCTATTTCGTAAATGCCTAGATGGTGTATATAAATTTAAGGATGACAATAGTTCTATTGAATCAATTCGATGTGATACGATATCGTTTACGAAAGAAAAACAGTCCAACCTAACTTGCGGAGTGCATACAATAGAAACTGCTTTTGAACGGACTCTATTCTTTCTTCGTGTGTGATTGAAAAAGGTGACCAAACTATGCTGCAATATTCTAATATCGATCTTACATAAGCAATGTACAATGTTTTAATCGTATACGGATCGTGAAAGTTATAGCAGAAACGTTTTATGAAACCAAGCATGTTGTTAGCTCTGTTAATAATTGTGTTATAATGATCGGTGAAAGTAAGTTTTGAGTCCAAAATAACACCTAGATCCCTGACTCTATCACACTTTTCTACGATCTGGTTTCCTAAAGTGACTGTTATATCGGGTAGCTTTTGTTTTCTACTAATGGTAATGGAGTTACATTTTTTTTATATTTAATTGTAGCAGGCTTTTTTGACACCAAGTATGGAATATTTGAATTTCCTCTTTGAATGTGATGATGTCTTTGGCATCATTTATTTCCAAAAAAAGCTTAATGTCGTCAGCATATATTAAAACTTTCAATTTCTTAATAATGAAAGATATGTCATTGACGAAGAGAATAAATAAAAGTGGTCCTAAATGGGAGCCTTGAGGAACTCCTGAAGTGACGTCAACGGGATTTGATATCTTTCCTTTGTATTTTACTATTTGATGACGGTCAGTTAAATATGATTCAAGCCACTTGAGGAGTGCGTAATGAATTCCCAATTTTTTGAAGTTTAAAAAGAAGCATGGGTATGTCAATTCGATCAAACGCTTTGCTGAAATCTGTATACAACACTTCTACATGGTTTCCGTTATCCATTGCATTCAAGGAATAATTAATTAATTCGAGCAAATTCGTAGTTGTTGAACGGCCTTTAAAGAAGCCATGCTGCATAGTAGTTATTCTGTTTTTAATTTGAAGAAAGAGTTTTTCATTTACAATCGCCTCGAAAAGTTTCGGAATGCAAGAGATAATAGCTATACCACGATAATTACGTATGTCGGATTTTTTACCCGATTTAAAGATAGGCACTAAAAACGAGTTTTTCCATATTTTAGGGAAGTTTCCGGATTCCAGTGACATATTGAAAATCCAAAATAATGGAGCAGTAAGTTCAATTGCTACAGTTTTCATAAAAACTGGCGGAACACCGTCAGGGCCAGGACCTTTAGATGCATCTAAATTGTTTAAACCCTTTAAGATATCATGAACCTTGATTTGACTTACGCTGAAGTCACTTGAAAATTCTGGATATGATTCAAAATATTCACGATCACGGTCCTCTTCTGAAAACGTAGTATATATTTCTTGGAAGAAATTTGCTAACAAATTGCATATATCATCCGAGTTCTCACCTATCCTATCGTCCAAATGCATCTTTGAGGGAAAATTATCAGATTTTAATTTGGTTTTCACATAATTGAAGAAGTTTCTAGGACAAGATTTTATTTCAAGTTCAGTTTTTAAATTATACTCCTCAAATGCCATATTCACGGCCAAATTTAACTGATCGCAAATGTCTAAATAGTATGCCAAAGTTTCTTCACTGTTATATTTTTTATAAAATTTGTGCGCTTTTTGCTTTCGATTTTTTAAATTTTTCAGTTCCCTGTTGTACCAAACTGGATGTTTTGCCAGAGTCATGCAAAACATCCAGTTTGGTACAACAGGGAACTGAAAAATTTCTTCTTTTAGTTGGCACTTCTTCAAGTATTATTTCAAGCAACACATTGTAGAATGCGTCAACTGCACATTCAACATTTCCTGCAATTCTTAATATTGCTTGCCAATCGACAATATTCAATCTATTTCTAATGTTATCATAATTTGCTGAATTGTAATCAAAGATTTCATCAAATTCGCAGTCGTTGGTTCTTTCATTTATGTGAACGAATAGAGAATATTCTATTGCTGTGTGAAACATTTCATTTCTCCATATGGGACTTAACGATTCAGTCACACAGAAATCTTCATAAGTATTTGTTAATAAAAGGTCTAAATAACAATTTTGTTGATTTTTCACATGGTTAATTTGATTGAGTCCTAAATTTGCAATTTTGTCAAAAATGAAATGGAGTGTTTCATTTTCCCTAACGACTGGAAGTAAGATGCTTTCATTGTCCATATCAGAAATAAAGTCAACATTGCGTTGGTTAAAGTCCCCATTTATATGAACTTTTACTTCAGGGGGTAAACTAGACAAAATTTCTTCCGCTTTTCCAAAAAACTTATCATACGTGTCCTTATGAGCATTGTTTGGAGGAAAGTACACCGAAGCAAAGACATGTTTTTCGTCTGCTACTTGCGCTTTTACCCATACATGTTCGAATTCATTAAATTTAGTAGCCATAATAATTTCTGAATTCAATTGGGTCGAAATCGCTATTAATACTCCACCTCCCGATTTTTTTCCAGACCATTGAAAATTGCGGTCGTCTCTATAAACGTTATAATTGTTACCAAAAACTTCTTCACTTCTCACACTATCATCCCAACTTGTTTCATTAGCCATTATGACAGAGTTGAGCACAACATATTGTAGGAGAATTTCAAGATAGTTATAAAGAGAACTATTTGAGAATTTTGAGGATAAACCCATATTGTTTCTTATGACAACTTCCACGGCATTCATGCTAAACTTTGTTTTCCTTTGTCTATATCCTTTTCCGTGGCAATAGTAGGAGATGAAAAATAATATGAATATGAACAAACCCACAATTGTTTGAAGAATTTCAACACCGTTAGTAGAGGTTGTTGAATAAAAACCCAATGGAAAAAATCTAAGTAAATCGTTAAAATTATTCCAAAGCATTTCAAGAAGAATTCCCAGGGGAACATAATTCGGAAGATGGTCAAAAAATTAAATTGATTCCAAGAAAATCGAATAACATGGAATGTTCTAAAAGATTTCTGAAAGAAATTTTAGTAAATCTCTAGGAGCATTTTCACAGAATTCGGCGAAGAAGTATTTTGAAAATAATTTAAAGAATGCTAACTTAGTTTACCAATCAGACTAAGGCCTTGTTGTCCTCTGCTGTCAGAAGAAGTCGCCTCCACTCTACTCGATCAATGGCCACACTTCGCCAGCCTCTAAGTCTGCGAAGGGTCCGCAGGTCGCCTTCTACTTGTTCGATCCACCTTTCCCACTGCGTGCCTCTTCTTCTTGTTCCTGTTGGGTTGCTTTCGAGAACCATTTTCACTGGGTCGTCGTACGGAATTTTTACGACGTGCCCAGCCTACCCTAGTCGCCCATTTTTTGCAATGTGAACGATGGATGGTTCTCCCAGCAGCTGGTGCAATTCGTGTTTCATTCGCCTCCTCCAAGTTCCGTCATCCATCTGCACTCCACCGTAGATGATACGCAACACCTTACGTTCAAAAACACCAAGGGCGCGTTGGCCCTCCACGAGCATAGTCCAGGTCTTGTGGCCGTAGAGGACCACCGGTCTAATCAGCGTCTTGTAGTTAGTCAGCTTCGTGCGGCGGCGAATTTTATTCGAACGGAGCGTCCTCCGGAGTCGAAAGTAGGTACGATTCCCTGGTATAATCCGTCTTTGAATTTCTCTGCTGGTATCATTTTCAGCAGTCGCCAGTGAGCCCAAATACACGAACTCATCGACCACCTCGCTTTTGTCACCGTAGATATGAACTCGGGGTGGGAGGCTAACATTGTCTTCCCTAGAGCCTTTTCCACTCATGTATTTTGTCTTCGATGCGTTGACGGCAAGTGCAATCCACCTAGCCTCAGCCTT